CTCTGGGTTAGTTATCTCTAGTCCCAACGTCGGCAGCAAATAAAACCACCATAGCTCGTCGAGTTGTCCAGGGCCGTCCCCAGAGCTTGCCAGGCACCTCCCAAAATCGCTGCTGTCGCCTGGGCCGTCTGCCCCTCGAGCCTCCTCTCCCCTCCCCTCCCCTGGTCCACTCTCCATCGCCTGGCCAGCCACCTTTCTCGAGGCGGTGACGGCATCACATCACTCAACTCTAACCATTGACCACCCAACCCTAATTTCTCGGCGCCCATAATGTCTGACGCCGGCGAGAGGTAAGTACAGCACGATCCGTCCCCAAGGTCCAAACCTAAACCCAAACACGAACAAACGACATGCAGAATTGGAGCTACATGCTCCCATTCTTCCCATCAGCTGTCGTGTCGTCACTCCACCCCTCCAGCCCCTTTCTTGGCTCTCTTTGCCTAGCTCAACCTCGTTCGCCGGCCCCCTCCAACCCCAACCCAACGTGGACGTGAAGCTCAAGAGTCTGTCTGGGTAGCTAATTGTTGTTGCTCCCCTCATACAGCGTCCACAAACGCTCACGATCTGCGCATGCGCTGTCCCTCCTGAGGCGCAAGGATACGCGCGAAGACGAGTCTGGCTCTGAAGACGGCCGAACAAGCAACAACGGTTCTTCAGCCACCGCCGGCAGGCATCCACACGGCTCCATGTCGCACCAGCAGAGCACTCGGAGCCATCACAGCTCCAGGCTCTCCGTAACCTCGGCCAACCTGACCAGAACGCCCTCGGCGAACAACAATAACCACAACAATGTTCCAGCCCCGGTCCCCTCCCCGATCCCCCTCAAGCCTACCACGAGCCACGATAAGGGCGCAAGCCTCGAGCAGTCTGTCAAGAAATTCCGAGTCGTCGAGGCCCTTCGGAGCGGCGACACAGCGTCCATTTCCAAAGTCATTCGAGAATCCGTCAACGAAGATGGCCCACGCCCAAGCACTTCCTCGCTCCTAGGCGGCTCTGCTTCCGGGCTGGATGATACCACCATTTTGCACCTGGCCATCCAATGCGCCGAATTCCCCGTCGTCGAGTATGTCTTGTCAGACGGCCAGGGCACCCTCGACCTCAACGCACGCGATAAGGAGGGCAATACCCCTCTCCATATTGCTGCCGCTCAGGGCCGCACGCCCGTTGTCAAGCTGCTCCTGGAGCACAAGAATATCAATGATGCCGTCGCAAACTTGCAGGGCAAGCTCCCCATCGATCTCGCTCGAACCCCCGAAATCTTCCAACAGCTCCAGCTTTCACGATCCATATACACCGAGGAGAAGATCAGGCAGGTCCAGGCACTCATTGCAAACGGCGACAATGATGGTCTGGCGCAGCTACTCGAGGAGCCACGCTTCAAGACCGTCATCGACATCAACAGTCCCGAATTTGCTTCCGAGCCAGTCACGGTCAGCACTGGAGGCACTCTCTTGCATGAAGCCGCCCGCAAGAAGGACACGAAACTGATCCAAACACTTCTGCTCCATGGAGCCGACCCCTTCCGTCGCGACCGCAAAGGAAAGCTCCCCCAGTCCATCACCAACGACGACAACGTCAAGGCCATCATCAAGAGGTCGCCTGCTGCTGTCGCTGCGCAACGTGTAATTCAAGAGAAGGCTGTCCTAGGTCACGCTGCATCTCAAACCGCCGCCGCTGTGGCAGCTGGCGATCCCCTGGCTGGCCGTGAAGCCCGTGAGATGAAGGGCTACCTCAAGAAATGGACAAACTACCGCAAGGGGTACCAGCTGCGATGGTTTGTGCTCGAGGACGGCGTCCTCAGCTACTATAAACATCAAGATGATGCGGGCTCAGCCTGCCGCGGAGCCATCAACATGAAGATCGCCAAGCTTCACATGAGCGCGGATGAGAAGACCAAGTTCGAGATCCACGGAAAGTCCTCGGTCAAGTACACTCTTAAAGCCAACCACGAGGTCGAGGCCAAGCGCTGGTACTGGTCGTTGAACAATTCTATCCAGTGGACGAAGGATCAGGCCAGAGAGGAGGAGCGACAGCAAGCTCGGAACGCGGAAATTCTCAAGCAGGCCAAGGCCGAGCAGAGCCACCAATCTCTTGGGATCGAGCCTTCCAGCGAAACAACGAGCATATCGGACATTCGGCAGAGCACCTCTCACCTGCCAAGTCGTTCGCTGCCAAGTGTCAAGGCATCGGGGCGGAATGATCACCACGACGCTGCCTTTGACGGCCAGGATGATGATGAGTTTGCCGATGCTGTTACCGAAGCCAATTTCTCGCGTGTCCGCAGCAATGTCCACAGCAATACCCATCACTTGGGAGACATTGACGATGAGGATGACTACGGTGATGATATCAGTGGGCACGAGGAGCCGACTGCCACTAGAGATGCTCTGAACATCACCGCCCAGTCAGCCAAGCTACAGCTCGAAACTCTATCTCAGGTTCATGCTGCTCTTATGCTGGAAACGGGCCGCAACCCGGGAACACCTCTCTCCGACACCAAGGTTGCGTCGGCCTTTGCAACCTATGACGGCGCTATTCGGAGTTTGACCGGACTTGTGGGTGACCTGCTTCGTATTTCCAAGGACCGCGATGCATTCTGGCAGTACCGCCTCGATCGCGAGTCTGACATGCGCCGTATGTGGGAAGAGAGCATGGCGCAGGTTGCCAAAGAACACGAGGAGCTAGAAGCCCGCATGGGAGAGGCGGAGCACAAGCGCAAGCTGACGAAGAAGGCACTCCGAGAGGTCATGGAGCAAGGCACTCCCACACTGCAAGTGACGGCGCCGACCCCGAAGATACCGTCCTACGAGGAAGAGGATGAGGTCGACGAGAGCAGGAGCCTGCGTAGGAAGCCCACTGCCCTTCAACAGATCGCTGCCCTGTCAGAGAGTGAATCGGAAGACGAGGAGGAATTTTTCGATGCCGTTGATGCTGGCGAGGTCGAGGTTGCAGACGTGACCCTGGCCGAGGCGGGGCTTGAAGAAACCCAGAAGGAGGTAGCGGTATCCGATGGCTTTGACATCAGCAGCTCCTTCAATGGATATGAAAATGGTATTCGACATAGGCTCAAAATGGATTCCGACAACCGACCTAAGGTGTCTCTCTGGGTAAGTCGCTCGCTGAAATCCTCGAGGCAATTTGACGCTGACAAGTACATACACAGGGCATTCTCAAGTCGATGATTGGCAAGGATATGACCAGGATGACATTGCCAGTATCATTCAACGAACCCACATCACTGCTGCATCGATGCTGTGAGGATATTGAATATATCGACCTTATCAATCGCGCCGCCGAGAAGTCAGATTCGATTGAACGGCTGGTCTATGTTGCAGCATTCGCCGCCAGTGAATATGCCTCGACCATCGGACGTGTTGCAAAGCCCTTCAACCCTCTTCTTGGAGAGACCTTTGAGTATGTGCGACCTGATAAGAATTACCGGTTCATCTGTGAGCAGGTGAGCCACCACCCTCCCATCGGAGCATGCCACGCCGACGGACCTAGATGGACGTACTGGGGCGAGTCCAGCGTCCAGTCGAAATTCTACGGAAAATCATTCGAATTCAATCCACTGGGAACGTGGTTTCTCAAGCTGCGACCCACTGATGGAGGCCCCGACGAGTTGTACACATGGAAGAAGGTGACGTCCTGCGTCGTTGGTATCATCACTGGCAACCCAAGCGTAGACCAATACGGCCTGATGGAGATCAAGAACTGGAACACGGGAGAGGTCGCCTTGATTGACTTCAAGCCTCGTGGGTGGAAAGCCTCCAGCGCTTACCAGGTCACCGGCAAGGTCCTTGATGCGGGTGGAAATGTACGGATGAGCATGGGCGGGCGCTGGAACTCGAGATTTTACGTGCGGCTCACCCCCGGCTATGAGGCCACAATCGATGCCCCTTCCAAGGAGAAGGAGACCGGTCCCGTACACACCGGGAGCTTCAGCGACCCTAGCAGAGCATATCTCATCTGGGAGGCGAATGAACGACCCACGGGTATCCCGTTCAACCTCACGCCATTCGTGCTAACATTCAACCACATTGATGAGAAGCTCAGGCCCTGGCTTGCACCCACAGACTCCCGCCTGCGGCCAGACCAGCGTGCCATGGAAGAGGGAGAGTATGACTTTGCTGCCACGGAGAAGAACCGGCTGGAGGAGGGCCAGCGTGCTCGGAGAAAGGCCCGTGAGACTAGCGGCCAGGAGTTCGTGCCCGCTTGGTTCTCCAAGGACCGCGATCCGGTAACGGGCGAAAAGTTCTGGAACTTTAATGGCAAGTACTGGGATCTAAGAGCCAAGGGAGGGCCTGACGGGGACCCCAACGTATGGGAGGGTTTGGAGCCTATATACCAAGATGCGGATATTTAGTATAAATGACCCAAAAGTGGATATTTTACTTCTTTTTGGTCGTTTCGGCCTCAGGAGACGAGAAATCATATGCATTGATATCATCCTATTTCATCCAGCTATGTATGGCGAGCACGTTTCCCTCATGTTCATGAGCGGCCGTATCAAGCTCCCCGACGGAGTTTTGGAAGGGTGCGTTAAGCTCATACGAAATTCCGATAAGCACGGACAGTTTCAGATGTAAATCCTGCCAGGATTCCTGCTCAGGGTCCTGGCCTTCTACCCAATCACGCTCTATAATTAGTATTCAATTGGCAAATGGTGGAATGCGCAGATTTGATGATGATCATTGATAGGGACGACGGTGTTCGGCGAGTGGAGTAACTAGGGAATGCCGAGCCTCGGCATTTCAGCTGCGATTCAACTACGGAGCACGAATGGCTAAATCTGTCGCATCCTCCGTCCATCGCGTGCATTAATATAATTACATTTCGTGGCACCTGGGATTTTGTTTTCCCTTCTGTCGTATTCCAAGACGAAAGGGGGTTCTGTTACTGTGTTTCATTGCATCAACCACGTCGCCTGAAATTGGATAGACCACCCATCCGGATCACTCCCACTCGACCGAGCTTCCACACGAAACCACCACTTCGCCATGTCGAGAGAAGACCGCCCAACCCTCCTCCGTCCCCCCGAGCCAGACCCGACCAAGTCCCCGATCGAGCACGTCCTCGAGGTGACCGAGCTCGCGGTCCTGGGCCCCGACATCTTCACCAACACCCGCCTCCCCTGGCAGCCCCCCGGCGCGAGGGGCATCTTCGGCGGCGTCGTCATCTCCCAGTGCCTCGCGTCCGCCCAGAAGACGGTCCCGGACGACTTCCTCCCCCACTCGTGCCACTGCTACTTCCTCCTCGCGGGGTCCAGCTCGATCCCGATCCTCTACCACGTCGAGCGCGTCCGCGACGGCCGCTCCTTCGCCACCCGCACCGTCCAGGCCCGCCAGCGCGGCCGCTGCATCTTCACCACCACCATCAGCTTCGCCCGCGCCGCCGACGACGACGAGTCCTCCCGCCGACGCACCATCAACCACGCCGCGCCCCTACCGCCGGGCGTCCTCGACACCGTCCCGTCAGACGACCACCACGATCCCCCCCAGCCGGGCGCCGACTCGCGACGCCCCCTCCAGAGCACCGCCATGATCACCACCCCCGTCCCCCCCGGCGAGAAGAGGGAGCCCGCCCACCGCCGCTGCCGCACCTGGGTCCGCGCCCGGGGCAAGCTCTCCCCCGAGGGAGGCCGCCGCGCCCACCTCGACGCCCTCGCCTACATGTCCGACAGCTTCATGCTGGGGACAATCATCCGCGCAAACGACGCCTGGGGCCACCGCCTCTCCCCCCGCCAGGTCGACGCCCTCCCCGAAGCCCAGCGCGCAGAGGTCATCCGCGAGCTCGAGCGCACCGGCTTCGGCACCACCCTCGAGGAGTGGGAGGCCCGCCCGAGGCTCGGCATGATGGTCAGCCTCGACCACAGCATCTACTTCCACGAGCCCAGGCGGGTCCGCGCCGACGAGTGGATGTTCTGCGAGCTCGACAGCCCCTGGGCCGGCGAGGAGAGGGGGCTCGTCATCCAGAGGATCTTCGCCAAGGACGGGACGCTGCTGGCGAGCTGTGTGCAGGAGGTGAGACGAATCCCCCTTTTTGTTTCTTTTCCCTTTTCTTTTCTTCTTCTAGGTCATGTTTGCTAACGAGATATTCAAGGGAGTTGTACGACTTAACCAGGACGGCACTGAGCAGGGATCGAAACTATGAGAGGGTCAATCAGATCCAGACTTCCAATGCCCCTGAAATGCAAAAGGCCCGGACGGAGTTGGGCGTTTCCTGTAATAGAAAATGATTTCCAAGATTATATTAGTACTAGACTTGTTGAACACTGGCAACATCAACGCCGACGATATCATCATAATTCAATATGCATTTTATTCATACTCATTAATATTTGTCTACTTGATGTCTAGGTCATAAACAGGTCGGCGTGCCTACAGCGCAAATGAGGCAACTCCAAGGCATAAAAGCGCCGCAATGGCCGCCAGTGGCGGTGATGGCAATGTGCGTGGAGAGGCGTTGTTATTGTCTGGGGCACTGCCTCCTGTAGACTGTGTGGACGACGTCGAGGTTGTCTGGGTGGCACTTGACGTCCTGCTAGGCAAGGCATTCGACGTCTGGCTCGCCACTCCGGTGACAGATGGGATCGCAATCCCCGACTTGATTTCGACAATGTCCGAGTCGGTGCTGTTCAGGTTTGCCTGGCCGATGGCCAATTGCTCGTTAGACAGGTCGTACACGACATACGCTGAACGAAGAAAGGAGGCGCCCAGAAGAGTGAACGACGAGGGCACATTGAAGTCCAGAGTGGAAGCGATACCAAATATACAGACTCTATCCCAGCCACTGAAGTATCTTGCTACCGAAGGGTTCTGGAAGACTTCCTGCACATCGGCGTAGGCGTCTATGACCATCTCATGCATGGGAACTTGTATCGTCTTTCCATTGAAACGGAACTCGAAGACGTAGCCCTCACCACGGCTGCCACGGTAGGCACAATCAACGAAAGGAGACAGGACGCCCTTGATAGATATCACGCCAAACTGTTTCCATATCTGTTGGACCTGTTTGTCAGGGAGCAGGGAGATGGTGGAGCCCGAATCCAGGACGGTGTTGGCGTTGAAGTTGGAAAGATCCAAGATGTTCTTCCCATCAGGGTTCAGCAGGTCAAAGCCCAGTAGTTTGACATTGAAGGATGTGACCTGGGAGCCAACTGTCTGGGACGCGAGAGGGAGGACGGTCAGGTTACCGATGAACTTTTTCTGATCAATTGCACCAAAGAGAACGGTGCCGGAGTCTGACTCCAGGTCATTCTACGGAGCTTGTCAGTATGGGGCCAGCAATGTGATATGGGGTCTACAGACCAGATACAGGCTGAACACAGCCCTGTCAATGAAGCCTTGGTCAACAAGGTTATCCATGATCGTCTTGTACTTATCCCGGGTGGCGACATTGGCACTCAAGCCCAGACCCATGATTCCCGTTGGCCTAACGGACTGGAGAGCAAGGCCAAGCTGCTGGTTCTGGATGGAGACGGATCCGAGGTGGACCGTGTCATTGAAGTAATCACCGGAAATCTCGGTGCTATCGAGATACTTGATATCAAAGCCATCGCTGGAAACCAGCTTGTATGTCGAGCTTTTATTCTGATTGACTGGGAGGAAGGTGAGTGAGTGTACAGTGTGTGCAACGCCAATTGTCCGTCTCTGGGCATTTCGTCCGCTTACATTGTGTCTGGCAGAAACCTATCCTAGCCTGGGTCTGCGCGCTGTTGCACAGGTCGGCGTCAACCGAGTTCACCCAGGTGTCGCTGCTGCCGGTGTCGAGCAGGAAGCTGATTTTCTGGGGAGGAGTTCCAATCGAGAACTCGGAGTAGTAGCCGCCGCCGGTGAGGTTGTTGAGAGCCTCGATGGAGATGTCCTTTGAGGCCTGACGCTTGACTAGTGCGGCCGACGTTGAGTAGTCCTGACGAGAGAAGGGGATCGCAACATGGCCGGCGGTGGCTGCAGCAACCAGCCCAAGAAGGTAGGCCCACTGCATGGTGATGCTGCTGTCTGGCGAAGCTCCCTCTTGACCCTGTCCTGGCTCTCCCGGTTCCCTGTGCGGTGTGTGTTAAAATAATATATAGTCTGGGTCAAATGAGTGTGTTTCAGCACAGCAATACTATGTGGTCGGGGTGTTTGGGCAGAGTGAGTGATCCCGGGGAATCATTTGTTGTTTTCCCACCAGCTGCACAGTTCGGCAAGGTAGGTATGTAACAGAGACAGCAGGTACAACACAGCCACCTCAGATGGAGATGGCTGGACACCACCTACTAATGTAGCCCGGGTTAACTCTAATAACGTAGGGGCGGGAGGCCTGGGAGGGGGGAGGAGAGCAGGTATGTGCAACCAGCTGGCCCCAGATCGACACCCCAAACACCATCATCAAGCTGTACGAGTCTAGCACCTGCCTGGATGTGCTACCTACAGTGCTACCTGTAGTTACTCTGGCTAGGTAAGTACCTACACAGGCGGTCCGCTAGGTGGTAGGTGCTACCTACAGTGGCCTCATAAGCCCCCCCAGTGGCCAGGCGACACCTGCAGCGGGTAATTGACTGACAGGCATGAGGCTTTTTCCTCGCTGTCATGTTGTGCCAAGGCCGGCCGCTTGTCCTCGATCCGCAAAGCAGTTGCCTGCATACACGTACATACGCATAGAGGCAGACTGACAGGCATCTGCACCTGGGCTGTGTAGAATGACAGAACGAAGTAGCCCGGCCCACCACTGGCCCATGTTCCAGAACTGGGTTCCAGGGTCTCGGGCTTGAAGATCACCTATTGAGGTCAGCCTCGCCCGCTAAGTGGCCGAAATCCTCCCCCGCGAGTTCAGCTGCCCCGCCACGGCCATGGGTCCGTGAATCGATCCCTCGCTGCCAGTCATCGACCTGTGGGCAGCCATGAATCACCGTGTTCTGCAGTGTGGGTGGGTGATGCCCCTACCTACTAACAATCGAAGTGCACGCAGAGCTCACAGCGGGCACTGATGCTCAGCCTCCAGCCGCTGAACTCAGAACTCAGACCAGCCTGAGAAAGCGGTACGTACCTCGACCGCGCTAGGCCCTCCACCAAATTCCAACTTCCCCCCACTAACGACGAGCTAGAGGCTGATAGCACAGTCTTGCCTTGCTCCGTTTTCATCAGCCCTTTCTCATTCACGCTTTCCTCCAGGAACTCTCCACGTGCCCTGTCTCGTCTCAGCCCTGGAAAACCACAAATCTAAATCGCCATCCATCCAAGTGGGTGGAGGACGCATGGCCCGAATTTGGTGAGCTTCTCACTGAAAAAAGCGTGCCTTGTTGTTCTTCACCCACTTGCCATCTCCTGGGGTGTAACATCATCAACAATGAAGCACCTTGACGCGTCGTTTCAGCTTCACGGCAAAGTGAGCAAGTTGTACTAATCGTTTATTGACTCTACCAAAGTGTCTTGTGTCAGAAAAAACACCATTTTCTCATCCTTGCGATGATTTCGTGATCCTCAGCAACTAGAAATCAAGGAACGTCACCTTGAGCCTCGCAATCTTCAGCGAGAAGTCATCACAAACACACCCTTCCCCCCCTCACTGATGTCAAAACCGTAGTCTTCAGAGACCAGTGAGCAACTTCGCAAGCACAAACTTCCCCCCTCACCAGACCTCAAACCTCGTGATCCTCCACCAGAGGCCACACAGACACGAGCGGTTGCCCTTGTTCAGCAAGAGGCCAGCACAAACACACCTTCTTCTCTCACCCCTGCTCTCCAAACCGTAGCCCTCGGAGAGCATCGGGCAACTTCAAAAGCACAACTATCCCCCCTCGAAACTCATGGTCCTCAACTCGAGACCAAAGAAACACAACACACCCGCGGCTGCTTCGACGTTCAGCGAGAAGCCTGCAAAAACACACTCTCTTTTCTCATCCTGATCTCGAAACCGTAGCCCTCAGAGACCAGTGAGTACCAAGACAAGCACAACTTCCTCCCCTCCCCTCCCTTCACCTGAACCCGAAACTCATGTTGCTCTGCTAGGAGCCACGCAAACACACAAAAGAAATGCTTCGACTGCTTCGATCAGTCAGCTCTCTCAAACCCCAATGCGGGTATCGTACAAGTCAAATCTCCTTTTGTTTTCTCTCGCCGCAAAAAATAAGCAAACGCCACAACCCCAAATTAGTCGCCTGCCTGCTCCTCGTTGTACCATGGTCTTCGTGGTTGTGATCCGAAATCGCGTTGAAATTGCAAAATACGGCCAAAAGAACCGCCAAAGCAAAGAAAATAAAAGCCAGAAAAAATAAAAACAAGAATTGAAAAAAGAAAATGAAGAGGAAGCAAGCCAGAAAGCAACAAGACAAAAAAGGCAGGCAGTGGTAGAGATCTTTTAGCTTCGGTTTGTCTGGATCTTTCCACTTCAGTCCACTTGGGCCTTTCAGCTTCAGTCCATATTCAAGAAACGGTCTCTCGCCTTGTCTTTAGCCTTGGCAGCGTAGTCAGGGTCGTTCGTTGTCTTCTGCTCCGCCAGCTGGGCCGCGTCGCCGAGGTTGCTCCCCTCGGCGCCAAGACCTACGCGCTCTTGATAGGCGTTCATCGCAATGGCTTCGGTGCGGCCTTCGCCGTTGGCACCCAGTCCAGCTCCTGAAGTCCAGCCCATCTTGGCCAGCATGCCAGCTCCCTTGGACTGCGCGGGCTTGGGAGCCTTCTCTTCCTTAGTCGGGGCCGGCATAGGCTTTGAAGGGCCTTTGCCGCCAGCTTCATCCTGCCCGCGTGGCATGCCGGGCTGGCTGTACGCCTCTCGTCGCTCTTTGGCACGGTCGCGATACTGAGGAGTAGAAACGTTTGAGCCTGCCCCCGAAGATTTCTGGTTGCCTGTCTTTCGCGCCCTCGCCATCATCCCATGCGCTTTCTCAACCAAGACGGGGTCATTCATGGCCGCTTTATGTTTGTCGGTCCTTTCGTGGTAATCGACGAGCTCGATCTTGTTCCACTTACGCGAACATATGTAGCACATGAGCCGGTCTCGGTCGATGAAGGAAACCTCATCTTTCTCAAGGGCTGCCTTATCTTTCTCAAGAGCTGTCTTGTCTTTCTCAAGAGCCGCCTTACCATCAGTTGCAGATGATGTTTTGTCGCGCTTTGCAGGGCTGCCACGCTCCGCTGCGGATTGAGGCCCAGCCAGAGAAGAAGCCGAGAGAGACAACTTAAACTTGATAGGGGGAGACTGGTCCGTCTTGACAGACTTCTTCAAGGGCGACGGCTTGATGGGTGTCTGGTTGGCATCACTGGCGCTGGTAAAACTCTCAGGCGATCCATCATTGGTTCCGTAGAGCTCATCTTGCCTGCGTTGCCACATTTCGATGTGCCCACGGAATGAAGGCCTCTTCGATGTGGGGGTGACGAGAATCCCTTCGGGTTTGCGCTTCTTCGCGTTATTGGCATCATTAGCACCAATGACTGCATTCTTGGCCTCAGTGGCACCGTTGCCTGTAGTCTGGGCAGCAGACTTATCCTCCGGCGGCTCTTGTGTCACAGTGAAGTTGCTGGGGTAAAGGCGAATATCCCGGTATCGAACGCGAATTGCTGGGTTCATAAGAGGACTGAACGATTCCTTGTCTATCCCAGGCTTGGCTCTGCGATCTTCCTGAAGGAAGACCCCCATGTGGGTGCGGGATACCGTGGCAGGGCTGGTCGCGACAGAGAAGGACTTGAGCATGCGAAACTTGACCATGGCCGCATCCGCATCCTCGACTGTCCAGAACTCGGCAAAACCATACCTGGCTGGTTTGTTCGATGCGGTCGTTCTCATCACAAAGACTCGGTGAAGAGATCCAGGTCGGGCACCATACCCAGCCGCATTTTCTGTTGGCGCTGTCGACTTGAGTTTAGGTGCACCCTTACTCGTGTCCTTCACGGGAGCGGGCGCTTCCAACTCAAGACGTTTCATGTCACCGGCCAGCATGGTCTCAGTTACGGACGACAAGATTGGGTAGACGACCAGAATGTGCGAGGGCTGCTCGCCAACATCAGCAGCGCCGGAAAGCGTATTCAACCACTCCGACTCATCTGCAACTCGCGTTAGGGAAAAGAAACCCATCATTCACCAAGAGGAGACAACATACCGACAGGACGCGCACCACAATCCCTGCAGACGCTCCTTGTTGAGTAATTGGGAGCATTACACTAAAAGAAGACAGTCAGAAAGATCCTCTTTAGTGCGTTGAGCACCAGAAACGTACCACTGAGCAAGTCCAGTTGTTCGCATTCGTGCGTTGATCCTCCGGATCCTCCCGAGCCCGAGCATAATGGAAGTATGCCTCGAATCTACCGTCCGGAGCGCTATCAGTAGTATGTGGTAACTGCATAGGCAGGCGTGGGAAGTATTTCTTCACAAGGGCTCTCGCCTCATCCACAGAAGCAAATTGCACGAAAGCACGGCGGCCCCCTAAAACGCAAAAGTTAGTTGGGAAGTACGGGGATTCAGCACGGAATCTCGTCACAAACCTCTCGTGGATTGAATTCGCACGTCAACATTGTCAAACTCGGCAACAGGAGAGTTGTTGAGAATGCTCTGGTGAAGCTGTGAAGAGACATGTCAGCCACCGAGTTGGGAAGTTGAAAGAAAAACCCCCGAAAAGAAAAAAAAAACACGTCAAAATTGCATCAAAATCTCATCAACTTACCCCATCGGAGAGGACATTGACAGGAAGTTCCTCGAGAATCAAGGTATCAGAGGGTGCACCAGGGGCGAGACCCGGGCTACGGGACCTGCTTCGGCTGGCGTCTCTCCATGGGGGGGTAGTAGAGAAGCTTTTTTCTTCGGAATCTCGTTGGCTTCGACGATCGCCTTCATATCCTCCTCTCCCGCGGCTTGGTTGACGATCTCGACGACCATACTCGCCCGAAGGCTGGCCTTCATCGTACATGTTGTTGTTGTATTCATCATTGCGGACTGGCCGGCCTCGTGGCATGCTACGCGACGACCCCTGGTCACCATGGTGAATCTCACCCTCATACCCGTATCGGCGGACATGGCCGCCTCTGCCGCGAGAGTTGGGATGCATGGTGTGCCTGGCAGGAGACCTGGATGCGTCTCGCCGATCGTTGGGGAAGTTAGCCTCGTTGATCAAAGATTATCCACGAAAACCAGAGTTCCGCCTCGAGAATAGGAGTCTCAGTCCTCAGCAGACGAGGCACGCGTGTGTTTGGTCTTGTCTTTACCCTGTCGGGAATGGTGGTTGTTGTCAGATCGGTCTGGATAGGAATCCGTTGGTTCGGGATTCTGAGAAGGTCGATGTTGCGAGAAGTCGGGCCTCGCTCGGCTGGGGGGTTCGTGGTGAGAAAGGCTACGCATTTTGGCGGTACGTACCGTGCGTGCACTTCAGCACCTAGGCACGGCTCCAACAGGCGAAATCTGGTTGTCGAGGGCAATGCGTGCGCGCAAAGGACAGACGGACGTGTCGAGCCAGGCTGAGGCAGATGGCGACAGTTGGCGGTCGTCGCAGCGCCGTCGCTTGCCAGCCTCACCGCTTTCCTTTCTAGGGCGATAGTGCGAGCTTGGGCCTGCAGCAGACAAGAGCGTGTAGTGCCGCGCCTGCCTCAAGCCTTTCCTTAGGTATTTCCTTTGTCTTAACTTGAACGTTTACTGAAAAATCGAAAACGCCAGAGAGGGTTGAATTTTTCAATTTGTGCATCCTGCTCGTATTGTGAATCACTCCTAATATTGATGCCCTAGATATTTTTGCCGTGCAGCGAGATGAACACCACACATACTGCGAAGAGCGGGCTTAGTCAAGCTCTATTGGGCTGGTTGCCCACCACCTATTCGAATCTAATCGACAGCCACACATCCATCAAGTCAATCTTTCATATCTACATGTAATAATCCAGCAGCGCAGTGCTCTCCCCAACTTTCCACATGGAGAGCGATCCTGCAGGCTCGCTCGAGAGGTCAGCAGATGGCTGCTACGTAGCCCTCACCCACGACCTCCTCAACATGCAGCAGGTCACCGATAGAGTTCGCAGCCCAGCCGCTGGGGCCATCGTCCTCTTCGCAGGTGTGAATCTCCTCCCATTCCCCTGAATTCACCAGCCCCCAAGAATCCCATGCTTATTCGCTGCCCTCTGCTCCGGGTCCCCCCACACGTGCAGGCACCACAAGAGACAACTTTGGCGGGAAACCCGTCAAGGAGCTACACTACTCCGCCTACAACCCCCGCGCCCTACGCACCATGCTCTCCATCACCCAGGGCATCCGGGAGAGGCACGGCCTCCAGGGCATCGCCATGGTCCACCGGCTGGGGACGGTGCCCATCGGCGAGGAGAGCATCCTCATCGCCGTGTCCGCCCCGCACCGGCAGGCCGCGTGGAGGGCGGCCGAGGAGGCGCTCGAGGAGTGCAAGACCAGGGTCGAGATCTGGAAGCGGGAAGAGTTCGAGGGGGAGGAGGGCGTGTGGAGGGCAAATCGCGACGGGGCCGCGGGGAGTAAAGCAGATTCATAGCCATTCTTCATCATTCCTATTCTTGTTGCTACTTGTACCGCAAGTAGTCTCCTCCCACCGTGCTAACAAAGGAAAATAAGATAAAAAAGAAAGAAAGAACCGTCAAACGTAAAATACTCCAAACCTCATGACCACGCTGCTGAAACAAGATGAACCCAACCCAACCCAAGCTCTCTATCTATCTCCCCCATCCATGCACAGACCTATCAACCACCTGTTCGGTGAGCCTTACGCATCCAACTCTATCGACTCTACCGAGTCTACCTGGCAACTGCACACTTTCTCGTATACCGGGGGTGGCTCGCGCAGGTACTGGAAGGGGCACGGCGGCGGGTGTGCAGAAGTGCATCGCCCAAACATGGCTGGGAACTCGTCAGTCTTTTCGCGGCAAAACATCAAAGAGGGGCTCATATGGTCCTCTCAGCTCGATGGGTGAGCCCGGAAGATCACAGGAATCAACATACTTATATGCCCGCAGTAAGCATCCGTAAACGTGCAGTCGGTCCCAACACCATGCACATCAACCTCCTCCGTAAACGCGGTAGGATACACAACGATGCCATATTCAGCATGCAGTATCCGCCAGAACTCCAGAGGTAATCTGTAAAAAGACACACGTAAGCACACACTCCCGCCCGCCCCTCTGGTGTCAAGAAACTGGCCCGGCTCACTTGTACTGGCCATGCTTCACGCAGGCGTGGACAAACAGGCAGACGGTCTCCAGGACCAGTCTCCCTTCGTGGATGGCAGCGTCCAGCTTCTCGCTGTCGAGGTCATAGACTCTCTTCAGACGCTCCTCCGAGTAGCGCATGGCGATCGACCAGCCTTTGGCGATCTGGTCGATGTCGCCCTCCATGATGCAGTCTGCCATGTCTGCGGTCTGAGATGCTGGCTGTGTATCTGGCGATTGGCTATTCTGCCCGGTTTTCTATTTGCAGGCTGGAGGCTTTTGAACTCAATAAGAAGAGGAGAATCAGTTGGATCAAGAGTCAACTCAATGTCACGGTTGTTGAACTCAAGGTGGCTGGTGTTGTTCAAAGCGAATGCAAGAAAAGGTGAAGTAGCAGAAAACGAGGGAGAAAGAAGAACAAAGTTCCGTCCGCAGAAGGACACCTTGCCCAGATAATTAATAAATACCTTGATGGCAAGACGCAGTCCTCAAGGCCCGTCAACTGTGAATGTGGACAGCCGGGCTCAACCTATCCATCAGGGTCCTCACCGGAGGCATCTAGTCGCTGTTCATCGGATCCACGGTGTCGTGCCATTAAAAGAGAATTCCCCCTCTTCTGCTGCCTTTTAAGCAAGATAAAATGGTCCCTGCCCGGGTCTCCCTTGCCCCGGAAAAATTACTTACCAACGGACATGTTGCGCGCGAATTGCGTTTCAAGAGCCATGAATGTGGTCATGAGGGTCTGGTATGTTGGGCCGATCGCGTGCTTGCTTACACACAAAGTTGCCCCTCCCCCTCAACTCACTCAATCCCGTCCTCTCCCTCCACCCCGCCCAGTTTTAACTCTCACACTTTGCCAGGTCCAGTTACAGTCACAGAGCGAGACCACAATATGAAATAGGAAGAATATCAGATATTATTATTGAGATGCCGTATGTCCATAGACCCTTCGCTGGAGTCTGTTGGTTGACTATATACATGGCAGCATAAACAGTGGTGGTATCTTTTGTAGAGCACTCATACAAATCCCGTAGCGTTACCCAACTCCGAAATCCCATTCAAAGAAACTCCCGCCGCATCATGCCTAATCATATCGCTCGTGATAGTTTACAGAGCATAGTTCTCTGTGTGCAGGAAGATCTCTTCCAGCGCATCGTCGCCCCAGATGCCAGCCTGGAGCCGCGCCACCGTGTTGGCAACGCCGACTCTCATTGCCGGTGGGCCACATACAAACACTGCCGTCCTCCGTCCCAGGATACCTCGCCCGTCAGCGCCACCCGTCGCCCACTCCTTGAGCATGTAGGACAGGTCCGGCCGGCCATACTCGACGCTCCAGCCACCATCAATCTCATGAGGCACTGGGAACGCGAACCGCATGAGGTTCTTCTGAAATTCGGTTGGAGTCTCGGGGAATCCAAACTCGAAGCCGGATGGAGGCCCAAATGTTGATGTCGGTCTCGGCTTCTGATCTTGTGGTGGCAGATCCGTCGTCCGCAGATGAGCAAGCTCAGGAGCCCGGACGGGGAGGCTTCCTTTCTGCTGTTCCGGATTAGATCCCGGAGGAAATTTGGGGGAGACCGGCGCATAATTGAAATGAGGGGGGTTCTCCTTCACGATGGGGGGGAAGTGGAACTGCTGATCCTGAACCGCCTCGATGGAGTCCTCTATTGGTTTCTTATCCAAGGGGTAGCCATAGGCGTCAAATTTCTGGATATTATCATCCTCGATTGGAGAGATGAGTTTTCCTTGATTTTGTTGTGGGTTGGGGGGAGCGGGAGCAATGTGTGATTGGAGGTACCTTTGTTGGGGGAGAGCAGTGATGCGGTCCTGGTCTTCAGCACGCAGCTGCTGCTCCCTCTCAGGGTCACCCTGGGCCTCGGATTGGATCATAACTGAGTTGCGCTTAGAAGCAATTCCAGCAACGAATCCATCCAACTTGTCGTGGAAAGCATGAGTCAGCGCCCTGTCGCCTGTAGGCCGAGCCAAGGGATCTGTCTCGTGTCCAGGCCGCCTTCGGACCGCTGCTGTGACAAAGAACTTGCAAGTCACACTCTCTGGGGGTGCAGAGTCTCGGCAAATTCGAAGCTCTTCGCGGAACCAATCCATCGCTTCAAGTCTCTTCATCGCCCATACAACCACAACTTTGCGCGTTATGGCCTTGCCATCACGCATCCTTTTAATTAAATTCAACAGCTGAGACATCAAGGCGGTGATACCACTGCCACCAGCAACCAGAATGCAAGTGTCAAAGGCTGACAAGTCGCGGCGCATACCACCATATGGCCCATCCAAAAATGCTCGATATGTGTGGAACGGCCCCTTCTCGATGGCTGTGTTGAGAACTTTGCGGGTGAAACCAGCATAAGGCTTGAACACAAGTACACAGTCTCTGTATTGCTCCCCATACTCAGAAGGAAAGTCGTCGCTGCAAAGCGATGCGATGGTGAAAGGGTGGTTATCCAGGAATGAAATGCCCGGCATGCGCAGGTAGACGTATTGCCCCGGCTTCCAACGCATTTGAGTGGGAATCGTTATCTTGATAGCATTCTCCGACATTAGGGTGATGGCGGCCTCGTCGCCTACCATGAAGGCCAGCCTCCATGGCTTGAGCCAATTGAGCTTGAAATATCGCATCAGGTAGCAGACTACCCAAATTCCGATAGAGGCATAAAGATAACCCCAAGACATCAAGAAGTTCTTGGTATGCCAGAACAAAACGCCAATGTATACCATGGCAACGGGAATGTGAAGAAGAGCGAAAGCTTCATAGGCGATCCTTCTTATCCATGGGAGGGATCCGACACAGAGCCAGATGAGCGGAACCAGGCAAGCAATACCTGTTCCATAGATGACTCCACTGCCACCAGGGAACAATCTTTGGAACACTTTCATGCCACCGTCATCCCAAACGGGTTGAACGTAGAAGGGGACTGTGTGTACCAACGCGAGGAACAGGCAGATATATGCAAGCCATCGGTGGAATACATTGAGCCGTTCTGGCCCAATGCCAATCATAATCGTAACAATATTCGCCTTCATGCTGGTTGCGATGATCCAGGGCGTCATGGCAACGGCAATCATGCCGGCTCTGATAGCTAGGGGTGGAGAACCGAATTGGATGCTCTGCCAGTACAAGGGTGATTTGAGAAAGCAATAGAGTGTAACGAAAACGGTGGCGATCAAGACACAAGCGACGACAGCCAAGGAGGAGAATGTGATGCGTCGTTTTCCCCAGGTCAGATCTGGAATAGGGCGATAGAAAACCCATCGAAACAGCGCCAAGACATCGTTGACAATAGTAACGGAGGACATGTTTTCCTTGGGTCGGAATCCCTTCTCGTCGCCGTTCTCGCCTTCTGGGAAGAATTGTTGGGCCTGTCCAGTCCGCATAGCGGCCATAACATAGGCGGCATCAACGTTATAGAGATTTTTGTAATGTTCTTCGAGCTGTTGCTTGTACATGGCCTGGCGAATCTTATCCTGCCAGAAATGCCACAGACGCATCAAAAAAACGGAGAGCATGAGTGCGACAGCAAAGTATGTCCATCCCAGAGCATACTTGCCGGATTTCTCCCAGGGGTCAACATAATGGGCCTGTACAAGGCCGGCAGGACTTTGAGCAGTTAGGGGGATATCAATTCGCTTGACCAGCCCGGCGACTTTCTTCGTAGCCTCGGAGGCGAATTGGCGCAGGTGAGATGCCATCGTGGCTGTACTGTTCAGTGGACCAGGACGAGGTGACGATGGTGACTATGGCTCTAACACCGGGTTCTTTTGATGTTTACATGAGTTAACCAACGGCCAGTGGCCGTGTTCTAAAGCAGGAACAAAACAAACAGTTCTAATATCGCAGGATCGGGGCGCTGGGCAAGCTCGTGCAGATCGACCAAAGTGGGGAGTTCGGGACGGCTTTGGTTAAGATGAGATGAGACGAAACCACCCCTTAACTCGATGCTCTAGTAATGTACTGAAAGCAAGTCTCTATGCGTGTCGAAGCAAAGAAATGGTCCCTGACTATTTATGATATGTGCTGATCCAGGGACGTCTAATTGGTAAGAAACCACGGAGGTACGAAGATCTAGGCAATGATAACGAGGGTGGCAAAGTAGGTCGAGTGTCAAGGGACTAGTGCAAGAACCACCAATGACACTTTGAAGATCTCCTTTGATTCGGGAATAGTCAAAGCCTCGCCGGCCGTGAAGGAGGTCGTTTGATGGGGAAGAGGAAGAGGTCTCTTGAGCTGCGGCCCAGGTGGCGGTCCAGGCGATAAAGAAGCAATTACGATGAGGGGGGTGGGTTGAAGATGCAGTAGAGCAGCTACTGGCAGCTATGTATGCGGTGCCCTGGAAGATGTGACGAGCCCGGCCGGGGGTAGTCCTGATGTGTGCTGGGGGTCATCGAAGGTGCAGATGCCGGAACCAGGGTCCGAGTAGCACGGAACAGGAGGAGTGGGTGGGGAGCCAAGGATGTGACAGTGAAGACGGTGAGGTGACATGCAGCTCAATTCGGATCGTGACTATCCAGAGAGTCCATTCAAGCTCAATTCAGGTGGACCGCATGGGCATGGTTTATCGACGGTCAAAAAGAAGCGCGGCGCCTAAGCTATGAAGTGGACTGATAAATCCTTGTCCGGCCCATGAGTATCTTGCGGTAAACTGACGATTTGGCGCCACGGTGAATTGGTGATATCGGGTCGGACGAAATCGAAAACTAGAGGCATTATAGTTGGCGTTATTCCATGTATGCACGATACGCACGCAGAGACCCCAGAACTATCTACCATTTCCCCAATTCCATGTGAACGGGGTAGCATCTCGGAGGCGAGGATGTCTTCATGCAGAAATCGAAAAGCAAATGGCCACCTACTATCTCATCTCTTCTCGTTGATCCACGGTGGGTCACGATGGGATAGAGTAAATGCAAGCGTATCTTGGAGGCCGAGGTGACGAGAAATGGGCGAAATGGTCAAGTGGACGGTCAAGACGATCAATCAGAGGTCCAAACACAATCCGTGGCCCTGCGGCATGGGTCGTTTAGTGCGTGCCTGCTGGTTGCTCGGCCGCCACTTGCCCACGGTGGGTGCAAGGTGTGGTGGTGTACAGTAGGATGCAGAACAGGTTCAACCTTCGGGAGAGGTGACGGGAGGAGGTTGGGCTGGCCACTGAGGAGGCACGGACAGGATCCATGGCGAGAAAACGACGACGGGCGGCCGGTGGTGGCGGTTGGTTGGCCGAATCAACGGGAGCGCATGCACCTGTGAAGAGTGACGAGATGCAGCCGATGGGAGATTGGGGTCGTGGTTGGGGCCGCTTCGTGGGAGCTGGCGGCAATTCACCCGTGCTGATTGGCCACGGGCGGGAGTTGCGGGCCTATCCGTTGAAGCCTGTGGGTTAGCACGCTGTAGCACCAGCTTAGGCCCCAGAACCCCCCGTCGCTAGCCACCTATTAGCGTTCAGAGGCGGCACCTCAGCAGGGGACTTTAGGTCTGTAGCCCCCACACGCGAGTTCCTTCCTGCTCCCGGCCGGCCGTAGCCAGGCACGCACTAAAGCCAACAGTGAAAAGTGACTCGAGCACCTCACGAATTCGGATATACAGATTCGCTGAGGGGGGGTTCGGGTTTACTATGTACCTCAACTGTGAGACCACCTGCATTGGCGTTGGTGATGAGGGGAATGGGTGCTGCAGGTTGATCTACCGACCTACCAATACCAGCCGCCTCACGCTTGCTTGTGGATGGGGATGGAGATGCAGGCGACTCTATATCCCCGCAAACATGCGCTTGACAGAACTTGTGATTGAGCATGGCTGGTTCGGGCAAGATCAAATCTCGCCCTCGCTATTGGCCACGGTCCTCGCCTTGTTGGAAGCTCCAGCACATCCATCCGCGCCTATTCACTGCAGCGCCAGGAACCGCCCCCGTTCTCTTCTCACTTTGCCACAAGATGATCCGATTTCCTGGTGGCGGTAGTGCCGAGCCCTACGCACATGCCAGGAGTTAGCTGGTGCTTGCCTGCCGCGAGTATTATCCATGTCCTCTGCGGCGTTTAACCCCTCGACATCGGGCAATTTCCTTCACCACAGCCCAGCACCGACGCCTTGGTCAAGGTGTGGTGGTACCTTGGCCGGCCGCCTGTGACAGCGAGACAACAATACAAGACGCAACGTAACCCCCTCCAAGTCCCGAATGAGGCAGTACATCCGCAATATCGACTACCGGTAGACGCAGCCATCAACAGTGGTGGATCAATTCGCTCACATGGAGCATCCAGTTGAGATAGAGATCCAATTAGCTCGCTTGTGAGGTAAACTACTACCTCAGCCAGCTTGCCTTCTTCTTCCTCAAACCTACTCTCTAACGTGGCTGCGGATGTTTGTTTTCCCAAGCTCACCCAATTGCACAACATCGATCAATCCTTGCCGAGGCCAGTAAATATGAAACTAGCCCAGCCACCAACAAGAAAATGCCGTGCTGTAGATGGCCTCCTTCCTCCGTCGGGTAGCCGGCATGAGCGGGGTTGTGAGATGCACAAATGCAGCACGCCAATGCCAGCTTCCTGAACGGCAACAGCCATAAGCCCGGCTATAAGACAAATGCGAACTGTCCCCGGTCACACGTTAGGTAAAGTACCTCACTTTTCGTCTTCTAAGCTGCTGATCGCCCGGCCGGATAGGCCCGGCATTAGTGGGCTGGAGCCATCGACGTGCAATCATCACCAACAAACCGATACAAGTGGGTTACCAAGTGGGTGACAGAGGAAATGTCACACCTAAGCACTGCCTTAACAATTACTTGATCAGCTATCTTTTATAGCTAGCTGTGCAATTACCAAGACAATATTATAGGGAAAGTATATCAAGATAATAAATATTGATAATCTATAATCTCTGCTTAGGATTAGATACTTATTCGGATATTCAGGTGTGTATTTGGTTGTTTATTTGGTCTTCATTTAGGTGTGCCATTTCCTGTGTCACCCACTTGCCTGTGTGCGGCCCCCACCACTCCAGGACAATTGGACAATGGATTTATGCCTAAAGGCCAAGGCGATGGGAATGCTGATCAGTCCCAGGATCAGAAGCACACTTTGCCGTCTTCCGACACCAAATGTCTCGCAGCTCTGCCTTGGAGGAGCTTGATTACTGGGCCCCAGAACAGCAATGATAAGCTTCATTCAGCCCAACAATCCCGGCCATTCGATTCTGAAACGCCATAAGTCGCGAATCATTGGTAGAGGTCCTTGTTTAGTATCAGAATGAGCACCCTGCTTTAGGCAGTACACAAGCCTCATCTATGATATTGTTAGCGAACTGAGTTGGCAGCGCAGCAAGCACAGCCGGGCAGATACAGAGTAAAACAGGCTATCACGCCGGCAGTTATAATGACATGTCCGTAGATCCAGCATACGAGCGAGCAACCTCCTTCAGCCCTTCCAATTGACCCTTCTTCCACTCCGTCACCTTTCCCTGCCATTTCTCGCCCTTTCCTCCACCCTTTACACCCTCCAGAACCTCTTGCACCTTGCCTGTGAGAACTTGGACATGGCCTGGCTCTCCATAGATCACAATGGAACCACTCTTCTTTTCTTCCCCGGAAGCCATCAGTAACACGGCCCCTTCTTCCTTGACTGATTCTTTGACCTGGGCAATAATTCCAGTGAAGAATTCCAGACCAGTGTCTGCACGGTACACCCAAATTGCTCTCTTTTCCCGTACCTCGCTCTTGATACGATCAACCTCATAAGCTGCAATCTCCGCTAAGAGTTTCTTTTCTCGCTTCTTAAGGTCTGCAAGGGCATCGTTCGTCCGAGATGCAGCAGCGGCAACTTCTTCGGCCCCTTGGCCGCATGACCAGAGCCTAGCCATGGACCGCATAGCACCCACGGAAGATGCTGAGAGGTCAATGGCACGCCGGCCGGCAGTGAAGGAAAGACGGCAGTTCTTTCCATGCACCGTCTGCGTAGATCCTAACAATATAAGGGAGATGTGAGACGTCTGCCTAAGATGGGTGCCACAGCAGCTGAGGGCATGCACGTCAGTAACTGGCTTGTGATTAGGTGCGGAGCTGCGAGGCACTTACGTGTTACGATCGATGCCCCCAATGCTGATGACACGGATAACACCTTTACCTTTGTCGTAGTCGCCAGGTAGGCGGTCTTGCTTGGCGTCAGAAGGTGTGTCCACGGCGATGGGCACGTTTTCCGATATGAGTTCATTGCAACGTGCTTGGATGGCCTCCGTCTCCGCTTCCGAGGGTTTTCGCGCAAGGTCGACGTAGTTCATATCGCCCTCGCTTCCCATCCCCCACCCAAGTGTGTTGAGGCCATCGTAGCTGTTCATCACAGCGGACAGAAGGTGCTGGCCGGTGTGCTGCTGCATGTTGTCCCATCGTCTCTTGACGTCGAGGTTCTGGCGGACACGTTCGCCCACTTTCAACGGCCGAGGCGAATGACATACACATCGGAGCCCGAGCCTCTCTACAAACTTGATAGGGATAGCCTCGGAATTAGCGTCAGATAAAAGCTGCAGTGTTCCATGATCTGAAGGCTGGCCGCCCCCTGAAATTCGCCCACCATCCAGTCAGTGAATCGTGAGTACTGAGGTTGTTCAGTAAAGGTACTAGGATAAAACATGCCTTCTGGAAAAAGTACCGAGTCTGAGAATTCAATCAACCAAGTATCCTTCTGCACCTCATTGGAAGCCTTGGCCTTCTTCTTAGTTCCATTCTGCAAGGGAGGAGCCTCCTTCTTGACGCATGACACTACTACAGTATCTAGGCTTTCAAGGTACGAGTCTCGCTGACAGGCTAAGGCTCCTACAACCTGGCCTTGGAGTTCTGCCAGGTCTGTTGACTCGCTCATTGTGGAATGTGTCCTTGTCGACTTTTTTTCTTCCTCAGGGGGTTGAAGTATTTTTCGAGCAACGGCTAGAAGCACAGGGATTGGCTTTAAGGCACGCAACCTGCACTTGGATGGCAGAATCACTAAACAAGGATCAAGAGAAAGAACTGAACAAGATTGAGAATATACACCACTAGAACCGAATGTCACCCTTGCGTCGTTTTCTTGGGTTCTTGGATCCTATCTCTCAGTAGATAACGAAATGGTAAGCCCTAGGGTAGCTGGTATCCATCGCGCTCAACCAAACCAAACCTTCAGCCTTGCCCCACTCTGTGTTTCTGACCGCGAGGCTAGATACAGTGACGAAACAATTTTTCCGCTGCCACGCTCCCAGTGATCTTGAAGATCACCAAATCATATCCCGATATTTTCTTTTGGCCCATAGCAACTTGCACCTCCAAAGTTCTGGAGCCCTCTCAATCCCACAAAACGTAATGGCACCCGAAGCTGGGCTGTCGCGAGCAACATTTGCAAAGCTCTCCCCTCACCCATACCTGTTGGCAAACCTCGATCCCACCGACGACGCGGCACCAGCGAGAAGCAATGGACGTACCCCGAGCGAAGTACGGACCCCGACCGTAAATCTATCGAGCTTGTCACATGCACACGGAAGCGCCGTGGTGCGTATGGGCGATACTACGGTTATCTGTGGTGTGCGCGGCGAGACGATCCTCACTTCCAACATTCCCAGCTTCCGAGAGTCAAATACCGAGACAGAGCTCACGGAATACGACCTCCTCGTCCCTAATATCGAACTGGCAACTGGATCTGCACCCCAGTTTCTGCCTGGCGGCCCGCCAACAACGCTTGCTCAAACGCTGAGCACGAGAATTTTTTCTTTACTGCACAGCTCGAAACTCGTTCAACCCGACGATCTACGAATATGGCATACCCGGTCGGAGGAAGGCTACGGCGAAGAAGACGATAAAATGGAAGATGAGGATGAGGATAATGATGAAGATGGTGCGGCAAGCAGCAAGAAACAAGTCGTGGCCTACTGGGTACTCTACATTGATATATTCTTTATATCCTTCGATGGCAACCCCTTCGATGCAGCTTGGGCTGCTACACTTGCCGCCTTGCGAGACACGAAACTTCCACAAGCACGATTCGACCAAGATAGAGAGCTGGTTATCTGCTCGAGAGAAAACCCAAGGGCTCTTACGCTGAAGGGAAATCCGATCGCATGCACCGCGGTCGTCTTCACCGGAAAGGATACTGATCAATCAGACGAGAGCCGTTACTGGTTGCTGGCCGACCCCGACACTCTGGAAGAGTCTCTTTGCGACGAAAGCATCACTATTGTTGTCGACTGCGCTGGTGGAAGTGCTCAAATTCTGTCCATCTCCAAGCAGGGGGGAACTAGTCTGGACCCCAAGCTTTTGGCTTCGAAGGAATTCATCAGCTGGATCACAACGCGGTGGAAGGGCTTTGCGGAAGCCATTGATAGCCAAGTTTAAGAATAGGAAATGATACCCATGACTGGAAATCCATTGACAAGAATCTTACGACGACATGCACTCATTATTTCTTGCCAAAACTACCAGCTTCAAGATGCAAAGTGGACAAACACGTAGACGAGAAAACTAAAATGTGCCAACCATTCGAACCACCCTATCACATCAACGATCTAGGGCAGTAGATACCGGCAGACAAAACTCCATCTACCGCTCAGCGAAAAGTAATTTCGAACTCGCATGTGACACAAGGCGCCTTAGTGAAAAGACGCTGTTAGACACGGCGTGAAGTATGAGCGGGTGAAGAGAAGGAAAAAACCGAAAAGCAGAGCGCGCAGTTGGCCAGCCTCTTTAAGAGCGGTTTGTGGGGCTCCACTGTCGACCACATTTTTATGGGGACACTAGTAGTCAGCTAAATTTCTTTCAGCCTTCGCTGTTTGAACCAAGCTTTTCTCTTCTTTTTCCATTCTCTCAACATCCTTCTCCTTCCTCCCTCGCGACGGGGAATGCTCGAACCATGGAATCCCTTTCAGATACCAAGTGGGATGTAGTGATCAGCGGCACTGGGCTACAGCAGTCCCTTCTCGCCCTGTAAGCTTGGATTCCATTGGTCAACGGCGCGTGCCTGCAACTCTGGCTGACTCGTCTGCCTTTGCTTTTCAAAGTGCCCTGTCGCGATCTGGCAAGAACATTCTTCACATCGATCCGAACCAGTACTATGGAGAGACCGAGGCTGCTCTGAGTCTGCAGGAGGCGGAGGAGTGGGCTGCTGAGCATCAATCCTCGAGTGCCAATAGCGTCTTTTCCAATGTGCAGGTCACCAAGGACGGCCAAGGACCAGCCTCTCCGCGAGCGTATAGCCTGGCCCTGGCCCCCCAGCTTGTTCACACAAAGGCGGAACTGATCTCGCAACTGGTGTCCTCCAAGGCATTCAGGCAGATTGAGTTCCTTGCCGTGGGCTCGTTTTACATCTTCCAACCTCCTTCCGAATCCGAGCCCGTCGCGTCCTTGAGCAGAATCCCTTCGACCCGCGAGGATGTGTTTTCCAATACTGCCATCCCAGCGAAGTCGAAGCGTTCGCTCATGAAGTTCCTCAAGTTTGTCTTGGACTACGAATCGGAGGCGCAGGCAGAACTTTGGAAGCCTCATGCCGACGCACCCCTGGTTGACTTTCTCAAGTCCCAGTTCAAGCTGGATACTAAACTACAGTCCTACGTCATCACGCTTACTTTGAGTCACGATGGAAGCATTTCCGTTGCTTCCGGTCTGGCGATTATCTATAAGCATATGTCATCCATGGGCTTGTTTGGTGCGGGCTTCGCGGCCATTTATCCGAAATACGGTGGCCTGTCCGAAGTCGCCCAAGTGGGTTGCCGAGCAGCTGCTGTTGGCGGCGCTGTGTACATGCTGGGTACGGGGATGAAAGGGGTGTCAAAGCCTGAAGGCGACGACGCGGAGCAAGTGCTCCAAATCGCGCTCACCAACGACATTGACGTTCAAACCAAGCTCCTTGTCCAATCCACTGAAAAAGTGAACAGCGATGTTCAACTGAGCAGACTGACGGCTGTAGTGGAATCTTCGCTTTCCTCGGTCTTTAATGTTGTTATTGAAGGGGCCCCTACTCCAGCTGTTGCTGTGGTGGCCTTTCCTCCGTCCTCGGTTTCGACCAAAGATGGCCAGGTATCTACTTATCCCATCTACGCCATGATTCATTCTAGCGACACTGGCGAATGTCCTTCTTCCAAATGTGAGTTAAAGATTTTTTTTTCTTTTCTTTTCCTCTTTAGGATTTATTCCACGTGTTAGGATGATTCACTTTATACGAATACTTATCTACATTGTCTGAACTTCATTGACGATTACAACTCTGACAACCTGATTCACACCTTGTCATTATTCATCATGTTTCTGGGACTTTTTGTTCGAAGCACTCGCTAACAAGACTGCGATAGGTGTTGTGTATTTAAGTACAGTTACTTCCGCCGACGCTCATGGGCTCTTAGTTGAAGCCCTCTCGTCCTTATTGTCTACCATTACTATTGATGGCGACATTCCCAGTCCAAGTTTCCAGGTCTACTATGAACAAAAGGCCGCCTCCTCCTCGGTTGAGGTGGATGGCTCCATCATTCGTATGCCACAGCCGTGCTTAGATTTACCCTTCAACGATGATGTTATGAGTCATGTTCGCGCAGCATGGGATGCTGTGACCCGTGCCGATGAGGCTACTGATGGAGCTGGTTACATGACGTTCGAGGATCGCGAAGGTGTTGATGATGACCCATTTGACTAGACTAGCGGATATAATGAATAATGAACAATAAACTATTGATTAAACCCCTGAGCCCTTTGCGAATAAACCGACCCGATGATCCTGATTGCTAACGTGAGAAGTTGTCCCCGTAGTTCCTTTCGCAATGTTTCACTCCTTTGAGCACCAAGTCCTTCGAAGTTTTCAAATACCACTAGACGCCACTTCCGCGATAGTTGGTGACTCAGAACTGAACACCATATTACCAAAGGCATCCTGCCCTTTGCATATTTGTAGAGTCAAAACCAACAACAAACAAATAACCTCATGAATATCCGAAACGCCCCATCATAATTCTGAGATTTCAATCATCCCAACGGCAGAAGCCGTTCCTCTTCGCTCACTCGGCATGCTCACCAGCTGCAGCACCACGGCTCCGGGAGGGCAGGCCGACGTGGATTTCTCCAAACGGCTCCATGGCACGGCTGCCGGTCTGGCGAACGGAAATCTCATTCTTCGTCGCCAGAGACAGGACGTGGAGGAATGCCTGCGCGGCAGTGTGCTTGTCATGCACCCCGGGAGTTGCGAGCTGCTCGAATTCGATCCAGGTGCGTCCCTTGCTGTTCGGGGCGGCGACCTTGTCCGCCTCCGCAGTGGCGTATTCTAGGAAGTTCTGGCTCGCGACGTCAAGCCCGCCGCTCTGGCTGTGTGCGTTCTCCGCACCGGTTTCATTCTCCTGGTGGCCATCTCCGTTCGGTCCTGCCTAAGTGACCTGGAGAGGCACCTGGGCACTGAAATCGGAACCAAAGCCTACATCGCTGTACCGCTCGATCGAATGAAGGATGCTCCCGTTGCCGGCCTTCTGGACAGATCCACGCACGGATGACCCCGGAATGACTGAGCCCTGTCTGGACCAGGGCATGATGGCAGAGGAGTGCCGATCTGAGAGGGGGCCAGCGGCACCCATCCCGATTTCTGGGATGGGCTCCTCGCCGAAGATTGGAGGCTCGTCGTGGCGAGCGACCTCTACCTCTTCATTGTTGACCCTCTTTGTCAAATGCTCATCCTGGCTCTTCGCTTCTTCCTCTGGTGTGAAAGCCTCGGATCTCTTGCGACGCCCACGCCCAACTTTGACAGCCAACTGGTCCACAAAGTCTGGTCCTAGAAGGTTGGCCGCGAACTGATGGCCGGCGAAGTCCACTGCAAGGGGATGCGGAAGTGGAATGTTGGGAGCGAAGCTTACGCCGACATTTGCAATGCCCCAGTCGAACAAGTATGCCCGGGCGTTCCTCTTTGCCTGACCTAGAGTGGCTCTCGCCAGGTCTTTGCGTGCGGCTTCCATGTTGTCTAGATAGTGATCATTCCATTCTCGAATTTCGCCACGGCGAACGTGGTCCTCCTGGTCAAGCATGATGTTCGTTTTGCGAGGGCGCCTCTTGCGGCTGTGTGCAACCATCATGTTGGGAGAAGATGGCTCAAGGGAAGGTGTTGACGATGGAACGCGATCCCAGTTTTTTGCTTGAGCTTGGATGGGGAACGCTTCTGCGTCAGGCAGGATTTCCTCATCTCCCAACACCAGCGCCTCTAAATTCTTGGCAAGGTGGTGGTTGTTCATATTTTCCTGCCCAAAGGCCTCACCCATTTCGATGTCTTCTGGGTTTAGAAGAGGCGGGAGGACAGGCTCATTGTCCAAGAGTTCAATGATATTCCCATCTGCATCTATTTCGATGCCAATCACGCCGCCCATGGCGTCGTCTTCGTCAAAGGGGTTGACGTCTGCTGACAGACCGCGGTGGAATGGCTTAAACCCAGACGGGCTTTGCTGGCCAAAGTCGGAGGGGATGTGATAGCTCCGAGCTGAGAGAGAAGATTCAGGGAGGTTGATGCTGAACCGAGAATGCTTGCGCCCTACAGAACCGCTGTTTTGGCTTGCAAGGGGCGTGAGGTGGGAGTATTGGTTACTCGAACCGTGGCTTGCTTGTAGGATTTGACTGGCATCCCACTTCAGCAGGTCGAGCTGAGGCAAAGCTGCCAACGGATCAAAGGTGGGATCATCTTCGAGGACGATGTTGTGTCGCCTTTGGGAGAAGCGTCAGTGCTGGACTAAACCACTCTAGACAGAGAACCAAGGAACAACGCAAACTCACTTTGTCTTTCCGGCCTGCGGATCAGTCTCGCTTTGCTGCATGGACTTGAAATAAGAAACCATTTCGGTCTGGGTTCTCTCGGCGTCTGATAGGACATAGTTGCATTGCTGGGAGAAAACTCGCGAGACGCCGTAGAGCAGGCTTGCTTGCAGTCGCAAGGCAAGAGGGGCTCCCGGGTCAAGTATTTTTTCGCATGCCCTTGGCACATTGACTTCTTGGATGAGCTTTCTTGAAAGCTTCTTCTGGGTCCCCTTTCCTACAGTGGCGACGAGCCTTTGTTCAAGTTAGTGGTCATGATGGTATCGCCAAGTGACAGGCAGGCTAGGGTAGGTGGCAGTCAAGACGTACCAGATTGTGGCCACTCCATACTGAGTGTTGGTGAGGACTATCAAAGTGTCAGCTTCGAGATGAATTACTTCCAGATCAAACTACAAAACTGCGAGCTTACTTTCGTGGCTGTAAAACATGTTCAAAGTGGTTGCAGCCCGTGGGCTCTCGCATGCGGTTAAAGGGGGCTTTCGAGAACCGCGCGCTTAAGACCCAAGAACTTGTTAGGTGATCGGATAGGTAGGTGAAGACCAAAATCAATAAACAATAAAGATTCTTGAGGGAAGATCTAAGAGATGTTGTTTTGCAGGATATTTGGCAGAGAGAAGAGAAAGTTGATGGGAGCGGAGCGGGGTGGAGAAAGCTTCGAAAAGTGAGGGGGACATTTTGGTTCTCGCGACGCGACGCGTTAAGGTAAAGTGCTGCGAAAGCGGTCTGCGAGTTCAGTGAAGGCAAAGGCCGCGACGAGAGGCAGAAAGAAGTTGGTTCCAGAGGGTGCCAGTGGCTCTTTGCGGGCGGTGACCGACGAGGGCGGTAAGCGGCAGCGAGCAACTGCTCTGCCAACTCGAACGCCTTGCGCGTCATGGGATGCCATTTCAACGTTCACCGCATCTCAGCACTCTCTACTCTCACGAATAATACAATAGGCTACCTTGATTGTCAATAGCTAGGTACCTGTATCGGCGCACTGGATATTGTACTTAGACAGCATTAGGCTCTTTCCTGCGGCAGCACCCACTGCGAGGTAAACATCTGGCAGCCTGACAGAGTCATTTTCCTTTCTAAAGTCTAGACGTCCGAGAAGGCAGCAACAAAAACGTGTACATTAGGTGCCTACCAACGGAGAAGTGCTCCAGGTCCCTATCCCGAGAACGCTCTTCGAAATCAAGGCCATTTTCCGATGTGCTCAATTCTAGTCCACACCGTCAATAGCGTAGCACCTATGCTCAATGACGGAAGCAGCGTTGACCCATGGCAATAATAGGGTCCATTAAGCATTTCAGTCAGCGCAAAGGTGCACCATGACGGGTAGCGTCGACGCTTGAAGTGTTGGCATGTCGGATGTCCTACTTGCTGTGTCTGCTTTCCTTAGCATTCCTCTTTGATCAAAAGATTTCTATTTTCGGCCAGCGATCACATCCACTAAGGTCACATCCACTAAAAATTATGGGTTGCGATGTTGTCTAAGGTATTGAGGCTGGGTGCAGGCTTGATAGGAGGCGGTGGCTTCTGTAGATGCCCAACCAAAAACTCCCACCTGTCTATTGGACACCGGAAGCCATCACATGCAAGACTTACCAGATAAGACTGGCCCTGCGTTTTTAGAGTCTCACCATCAGCTCGAGATGAGAGTGATCTTCAAATGTGTGGCCAGCAATGGCTTGGTTTTCAAGATTCCTCGAGACCCTGGCCACCCCCCGCAAACAATGCGCCAGTGCAAGCACACCATCATGTACCATGCCTGAGACCAGTGCATCAGGGCTCATGGCGAGTTCGCAATACGTAAGATTACATTGGACCCCGCCTTGTATTTGCTTTATTCCTCTGGCTTGGCATCGTGACCCTGAGTTGCCAAAATGAAGCCGAGCAATGCGAGCTGGTGCACGCCTTCCAGCATGTGTCGGGCGAACCGTCTTTTGAGTAATTTTGGGACCAGAGACTGGGGGTTACTTGGTACGACATCGGGGTGCATCATGGATATCGCGGGCCGCATCTGAGGATGTCATCAGGCTACAAGGCTCGGGGCCTTCTTCCAGGTTGAGCTTGAATCAAGCTGCATGTTGTCACATGAGGGGGAAGGTGGGACGCACGCGGCTGTTGCAGCATCTCGGTGAGGCGGACGAGGTGTGGGTGGATCCATCAGAAAGTGCTCTGAGTGCACTTGCCTTGTTGTAGCTGCCTTCCAGAACGCTTCGTACCCCAAAATTGACGAGTAATCTCCGTCTTGACTTCTACGCACACACGGTGACATACCGTGGATCAAGAGGCGAAAAAGCAAACCTGAGCCGAACCACCACAGCATGCCCGGGCGAGCCGAAACATTTCAAGACAGTCCAGTGCGCCCAACCTTGTTTAGCCTGGCATTCGCGGCTCAAGTCAAGACCAACTGCGTGGCTAGTGTAGCCGTCGAGTGTGCTTACCCTTTACTGCCATCCAACAGCTGGTGTCAGTATGGGTGTGTGAAGCCGAGCTTTCAATAGCGCCGACTCACTCTGGGGAAGAAGAAAAAGCAAAACAATGGAAAGGTCAGCGAACCACCTTTTCGGTAAGACAGCCAATTTCTCTTCCTGCGCAGCACTTCGCTGAACTTTGAGACAAGAAGAGATCTGAGCATCCCCAAGTGGACCGCCAGTGTCTCCTATCTTTGGCAGACAGCCAGTGCCTAATTCGTCTGATGGTCCCTGACATGTTTGACCCATTTATCTCCCTTCCTGGAGTCCCCTTCCTGGAGGGACGACATTGCCGGCCGGAGCCGCCGCTGGTATTCTCCTCCCCCGGCCACTTACAACGCAGCAAGGTGCCTTGAAGCCTTACATCTTCGCCTCAACTGAGAATGTAACGGCCTGTTGATTGACGCTCTGGTTTATAGCCAAGTTTCTTACTTAATGGCTGTCTCGGTCCAGCTTGAAGAAGTGATGATGCCTGGCTGAACTCAGCCAATAGGACCTCGCTACCAGAGTTGGAAAGCTGTGTGCAGAACGGTGTACACCGTCACATGAGCCCCCACGCTGGACCCTCTTGATTGTTTCGTTTATTCGTCAGGGAAAAGGGCCCAGACAATTGGAGCGTACTAATTGCAGAGCCAAGGTAGTCCTAGACTGAAAATTACTCATCTTGAAACTTACATGTCACTTTTCTCCAGCTCTGGCTCTGCAGCTGAGACCTCCTATGCATTTGCGGCTCCGATCCCCCCTCCCGTTTTCACAGCACTCTGGATCGAATTTTCCATGCTGTACGGACCAGATTCGATAAAATCTCCGGCAATTGCCGTGACGGTACATTGGCCTGGTCCTCGGACTACGGAAAAGACTGTCCTCAGGCACGCCGCCTCATCACGTTAGGCTAAAGCCAAGCTTCCTTGCCAAAATGCTTTGGTGAGAAAAGCATGCTCATACTACCAAACCGAACTTCCTAGACAAGGATGCCGAAATAGGGAGGCACTGAGAAAATCAATTTAGACGCATAAGAATCAAGGTTCTTGTGCTCAACTTCAGTTCTCACAGCCTCCCATCAATAGGGTAGGGGACAAAATCGCGATGATCTGGCCCCCAACCAATCACAGGCATGCCAACATTCTGGAACTTTTCTAATGGACTAGAACATCTTACATGTGATGAAACTTGGTGGTTCTCCATGGTTGATTCTCAGTGGAGCCTAGTATATTGTAGGTTTCCTCCCGATCAACTTTGCCGCCATACAAGTCCGCCTCCTACACATAACTTACCATTCAGGCAGGGATCATGGCACCACCGATCTGCGTAATACGCGTATACTAGCTTGCAACAAGCCTCTGCCTCTAGTCGTATATCGTGTCGATTGGTTTCCAAACCTTGGTCTCGCTGTTGCCAAGACCATGCGATTGTTGATACGCTCATTCATTATTACCCGAAGATAATAGCGAAGTGTTCCAATGGACAACACGTATGACCGTTGCTCTTTGCGATTATCAATCCTTGAGAATGCTTACTTCAATCAAGGCGGCTCCGTCTCGCGCACAGAACGGGTTAAGAACCATACCGGAGCGACTTCGGGGGTCGTCACACGTATACCCATCCTCGTATGCGTGAATGCCCTACCGTTGGGATCCGGTTGGTTATTTCGCAATACTGGCTTGCTCTATTTATTTCCCGAAAATTTACGGGGACCCCTGAGAAGTGATCTTGGCTCCGGTCTGTTGGTTCAGTTGAAACAGCAAAAAGGTCACACCCGTTGTCACAAAACCCTGCCTCGCTGCGCCACTTTTCGTAGAATTAAATGAAGGGAGAGGCGATAAAAACAAAAGCAACTATATGCAAAACCAACCAGATGACCTCATGCCCTTCTCCTGTCTTTTATGTCTTGAGCTCGGTGGGCCAGGTGAAGGTGCTCGATCAGATGGGCCTGGCTTGACACAAGACACAGTGGCAGTCACACAGAGCGTTGCGCGGTGCATTTCTTCTGGGCAAGGTAGCTCGCCGTTCTGAAGCTTCTTCAAGTTTGACCAGCTACTGATGACATCAAAACAGGTTAATGGTGGCTAACACTACTGTACGTGCCGGGTTGTCTCGTTGGAAGCAGAGCGGGTAGCTCAATGTGTCCCATTTAAACTCACGGGTATACTAGCTATAGCACGCACGGGAGCGAGGGAAGGTTAGATCTTGCTCGATAAGCTGACCCGAACCGGAGAGATGCTTCGAAATCTTGGCACCAGACACTTTTGAGACCTGGGCATTGGGGTGGCTGGCTGTACGGAGTACACCGCTCGGTCTAACCACTCGGTGATCGATGTTGTTGGTCAATGGGTAGCATACCCTCTGGGGTTAATCAAGATGCAGCTGGGATCTGGCCCTGCACCTGGTATGATTACCCCTGTATGCCCGACCCCACATAGTCACAGCTAAGGTAGGCATGCGTCTCCGATGTGAGGGGGTCACCGACTGTCAGGTTAGACGGGCGGAAACATCCCCCTTGGGGTGAAAAAGAGCAATGGGGATCCAGAATTACCTGTTATTACCGGGGGTAGAAATCAGGCCACTATGACGCTGGGGCAATCTTCGGGAGCAAAGGAGCATTTGTGAAGGCTGATGGAGCAAGCAAGGAGATGTTAGCACTGAATCTAGTCGCATTCGAAGTAGGGGTGGTGAGCTAGCGGCGCTGTAAGCAAAACCCCCTGCGAGCAAGAGAAGGAAGCAAACCGGTTCCCTATCGAGTTGTACACACCGGTTCTCATTACTGATCAGCATCAAACTCCAGCTGGACAGGCCAGAGAGCTGGCAATCCCAACAATGACGACGGCGGATGGACGGCGAAATATGGCAAGCTGCCGGAAGAGGTAATCCACCGTCCAGGCTGCCGGGCTCCTCATGTTCCAGAGTTCCAGAAGCCCTCTCTCTGGCCGGCAGAGGCTTGAAGAGGTGAGACCCCTCCGGCCCCCCTGTCA